GCAGGGCAGAGGGATGGGTGTGTGTTGGGGTGGGGAGGTGCAGGGCAGAAGGCTGGAGGGTGTGTGAGGGGTGCAGGGCAGAAGGCTGAGTGTGTGTTGGGGGTGCAGGGCAGAGGGCTGGGGTGTGTGTGGGGGGTCAGGGCAGAAGGCTGGGGTGCTCGACTTGTGGGGGTGCTCCCAGCCCCCTGCCCTGAGTGGCTCATGGCAGGGGTCTGGGAGGGATATGACCTGTTCCACCCCCTTCCCCCAGGCCCATCCCTACCTCTTTCTGCCTGCTCTACGGAGCAGCCAGCGTGCTGCGCTTGGCTCTGCTCCTCTGGGAGGAGGAGGGGCCGGAATGCACCACGTTGTGCAAAGAAGTGGGGGAGGAGGGAAGCTTGGCTGCTGCAGGACCAAGCTTCTGCCTCCTGCCCCCACAGGGGAGAGCAGTGGGCGGGGGGGCTGAGTGTGGCAGGAGGCCGGGACCCCCTCCCCACCGCTCTCCCCTGCGGGGGCAGGAGGCAGACGCTTGATCCTGTGGCAGCCAAGCTTCCCTCCTCCCCCTTCTTCCCCCAGCGTGGCGCTTTCCGGCCACTCCGCCCCTCCTCCTGCTCCTCTCACCGGGCAGGCAGCGTGCCACTCAGAATCGGCTCGCATGCCGTAGGTTGCCGACCCCTGGCTTATGCTGTGTGGATGGACTCCTCTACCTCTCCCAAGGTGTCGAACTTCTAAAATTGTATATTGTGCATGCAGAGTAATATTTTTCCATCAATTTTTCTGACCTATGCATTCAATAATAATGTTCCTGTGTGTTGATATAATGCATGTTGCTAGCAATCCAAAGAGCTGTAATAATACCATTTGATATGATCCAGTGGAATGCCTCTGGACCAATTCGATCTATATGAATACATGGTATTTTTTAATGCAGAGTAATATTTTTCTTATAATGTTATATATATTACATATAAATATGTGCAAAACTACATCAAGGTTCTAAGTGACTCCCACAGAGGGAATGTGACTGAGAGAGTTAAGACTACACTTTATGCTTTAATTTGATTTTATGTACTACACCTAACTTTCTTTTGATTGATTTATTTCATTGTGAGCGTGGTGTTAAATCTAATCAGATGGCAGTTAACAGATTCCCACTTGTAAAAGTCTACTTCATTCTTGCATCATTCATGTGTGATGGAGTAGCAGTGTTTGCACCTGTCTAGTTTAATTCTTATTCTTTTTTAATCCTCAAGGATTTTTTAAATATATATTTTTGCTGTTGTATGTCTATTGAGGGGTATGGACAAAGCAGAACGGCCTGTCGCTCCACATGCTAATTAGACCATTTTGTAACTTTTGCCTGTCTTTTACCACCTTTTTTTTGACAAGACTCAGAGGTTGTCTTAATTCCCAGATCCTTACTGTCACGCACAATCATAGGCTCTTTATTGGAGTCTCTGTTATTTCAATAGGTAAATTCTTAATGGGTCTCCCTTCTAGTCCCTTAACACTGATACACTGTCAGTTACAGAAGTTACTCTTAATCAGCACTAGGAACATCCTCTGCTCTCTAGGGACTGAGTATGGTGTCTGTGTATTACTCACAGCTTCTGCCATCCCAGCCAGGGACTCCATTGTTAATTTAGTGGTCGCAGCTTAACCTTCAAATCTTAATGTATTATTATTTTTTTGGTACTAGTTTTGGACCAATTGAATACAAAGGCCCTATGAGTGCTGTTTATATTGAAAAGTTTGTTCGCCGGGTGATGACACCACTACTCTACATCTCGTCTCGATCAAAATTACTAGATTTCCTCTCAAATTATGAGGTACTTGTCTCTCTTGTCTAGTTTTACCATTTGTGGTTCTGAAAGGGTTTGATTTGTTTCAGGATTAAATCTGACCTTCTCCAAATCAGTAGGTTCTTTCAGGGTCTCAGAAACCTGCAGTGCATCTCAGGTGTTGTTACAATTATAACACATGTGAAATGACAGACCAATAATACCAGTTCCTAATACACTGACTACATATTTCCTGCATTATATGAATTTCAGTGTTTCCCTAGTTTATGATTATTAATTTGTATTACACTAGTGTCTAGAGACCAAAACCAAGACTGTGACTCCTCTGTATGAGGTGTTGTATAGTCTTTGCCCCCAAAGAGTTTACAGTTTAAGCTTGGGATGCAGTCAAAGGATGAATAATAGAATTAATGTTTAAAATAAAAGTCAAAGTAATATTACAGATTTCTAATAAATGAAAATATCAATCAAGTAAAAGCTCACATTAAATCAAATGAATAACTGACTTCTAGAGAATTCTTCACTAACTTGATAACCTATATTTGTTTATAGTATAACTTCACACTTTGAATCCACATAAGGGGATGTTGCATTGTGTTTGATTAGCTTTCAGTTTCTGGTGTGTACTTACACTGTGGCAGTGCTCAAAATGTGGTAGGTTGCTTTCCAAACACACATTAAAATATAGTCCCTGCTTTGAAGAGTGTGCAATCTAAAAAGACAAATGAAGGCCAGGGAAAAGAGATACCACATGCAAGCAAAGTTGTCTGGGTGATGATTGGCACATGTCATTTTAGTTGCATTTTTTTGTTTCTGTATATGGGAAGATTGTGGGAGAGACAAGAGGATTGATAAATAGAGCATGGATTTGATGTGCATAGGAATAGGAGGAATGATGGACAGCAGGGAAGTCTGAGACTAAGTGTGGGGAGAAAGAGGAAAATGGAAATGGGAAAATAGCGAGTGGGATAGTTTAGATGGGGTGGGGAGCATGGTGGCCAGAAAGTAAGGTCCTAATGCGAAGGGGGTTTGGTCAGAGAGAAGCAAGAGCAAAAAACAGTCAACAAAATGTGACATTTGACTAGTTACATTTGAAGCGTCCAGTGAAGTCAGGAGGCGGAAGGGTAAGAAGGCCCTGCTAATGCTGCTGTTCCTCTTCTGAAGAGCTCTGGACTAATGTGGAGCCCCCATATGTTTGTTATGTGTGTGCTGCCACAAAATGGGAGCTGCTGAACCCCCCCCCTATTGCAGCTGCCACCCTAGTCTCTCTTGCTCCCAGCAGGATCCAGTCCTTGATAATAAAAGGCTCCTTGTCCCTGCTGTCCATCCTTGTCTCAGCAGGCTCTTGAGGCGTGGCTTAATCTTGTGGCGATGCTGCCTGTCTTCCCTCACTACCAGCCCACCATTATGGTCTGTGGATTACAGTAAAAGTTAGGGCTACATTCTCTTCAGTCCATAGTGGAATGTCATAGGGAAGTTTTACACAGAGATCAGGGTAGTATGTGGCTTTTATGTAGTCAGTAAACTTTGTTATTATTTCTATTTGTTCAGTTCCTTGTTGTCACATTTGGTGCCATTTAGTGGGGAAAATATACTCCCCTTTTAGGATTATGGCTACTTCTGCCATTTGATTATCTTCCTTCCCCATTCTCCTTTTTTCAGTTTCTTTTTCTTTGTGTGATTCCTTTGGCCTTCCCTCTGTATTTTCTTCTCTGCAGCAACATTTTCCACACTATTTGGGTTTTGCTCCCACAGATGGTCAACAATGAAATGTTTAATGTGGACAGTAACATTTCATTGCGTTTTAGCACTTGTCTCAATGAAATTAATGGCTGATGGGGATTCACAACTTCTCGTCATCATTTTTTCAAGTAGTCCATTGATTCAGGTGGACATGATAGCTTCTGTTACACTTGATTCATGTTTGGAAGATTTTCTTCAGAACCATGAGGGCAAGAGTTTGGGTTTTTTATTTAAATTAAATCTTAGATTATTAATATGCCTCTGGTTTCAAGTTTCAGATTTCAGTATGATCAATAAGGATCAAATCCAATCAGAATTCCTTTAATCAGATCACGTAGTCTCTTAACAGTTGAATGCCTTATCCCTTATTCAGGCCAGACTCTAACTGAAGTTAATAAAAGATTGTCCTATGTAGTGAATATGAGAACAATCCCGAAGAGTACTTGGAAGACCATGACATCAGTGTACAATGTACATACAATATGGGTTAGAGGGAGGAGAAAATAATGTGGAATAGTACTTTTAACAAGCAGATCTTCAAAATGACAAGTTTTGAAAAGTGGTACCTCTTGTGCATACTTGCTTTTATATGGCTCTTTACTATGCCATTATGTCTGTACAACTGAATAACATACCTTCCAAGATGTGATAATGTACTCTAATTGGGTCTTGCTGTCTCTGAAAACAGTTTTCAAAGCAGAAAGGTATGGATTAAAAGTGAAACAGTAATGCATGGAAGTAAGTGTGTGTGAATATTCTGGGAAAGATAGTTTTGCCAGAGTCACTTACATCTACAAAAGGAATTAAATTTAGAGTTATATATATGGAGATATACCTATCTCCCAGAGCAGGAAGGGACCCCGAAAGGTCATCGAGTCCAGCCCCCTGCCTTCACTAGCAGGACCAAGTACTGATTTTGCCCCAGATCCCTAAGTGACCCCCTCAAGGATTGAACTCACAACCTGGGTTTAGCAGGCCAATGCTCAAACAACTGAGCTATCCCTCCCCCACCTTAACCTATCCTCTTTCCTTAACTCACTTTGTTGTACTTAGGCCTTTCAGGGGAGTGCCAAAAGGTTGGACGAAGCTATATGTATTGTCTGTTCAGTGTTGCAATACTACTTTTTCTAGGTGCTATGGGGTGAGTTTGTGATTGCTTGAGGATTGCTTCCCCCCCCCCCCCCGAATTTCTTTGTTTTATGAATTTAAATCCAACTTTTTATACATTTAATTTATTGTAGTCATGTGGTTTAACACAATGGTTCTCAATCTTTACAGACTACTGTACCCCTTCTAGGAGTCTGATTTGTCTTGTGTACCCCCAAGTGTCATCTCACTTAAAAACTACTTGCTTACAAAATCAGACATAAAAATATGAAAGTGTCACGGCACATTATTACTGAAAAATTGCTTACTTTCTCATTTTATCATATAATTATAAGATAAGTCCCCTGGAATATAAATACAGTACTTACATTTCAGTGTATAGTATATAGAGCAGTAAAAACAAGTCATTGTCTGTATAAAAATTTAGTTTGTACTGATTTCGCTAGTGCTTTTTATATAGCCTGCTGTAAAACGAGGCAAATATCTAGATGAGTTGATGTACCCCTGGAAAACCTCCGTGTACCCCCAAGAGTACGTGTACCTCTGGTTGAGAACCACTGGTTTACCATATCTCATCTAATACAAAGGACAGGAAGACTTCATGATTTAACAGTCTCTACAATGTAGTAGCATCAGAAATGGATAGAGATTTTGAGTTGAGCCAGTGCTAGTGTAACCCACCCACCTTCTGGATGTGATGTTCTGTCCCATCTAGTGGCACCAAGACCACTTAGAGAGAGTTAAATGAGTCTGCTCTACAGCCTTAGCTAAGAGCCAGTTGGCTTTTAGCTCATGCGATAGAGGCTCACACACTAAATTCCAAAGGCCTCAGGTTCAATCCTGCCCGCCCACGACCGGGGTCTGTTGGCATTACAAGTGGGGGCACTTCCAGGATTTGAACTGGGAAGTCTCTGAAGCTCAGGACACGCTTCTTCAGCTAGGGGAAGTATGTAACCCACACACCTCCTGGGTGTGGTGTTCTGTCCCATCTGGTGGCACCAAGACCACTTAGAGAGATAAAATGAGTCTGTCGGCTGTTAAAATGAGTCTGTTACACTAGCTGCTGTGCATGCATACTACCAAGAGCTTTCCTTTTTTTTCTCTGAGACATCTTCCTTTTTGGTTAATGAAAGTGATGTAGTACATTCTTGAGGACTGTTGTCACAACTATATAACTAGCAGTTTTTCACAAATATACATCATGAGATATTTAATATGTTTAAAGTGAAGCGAACCTGTCAGTAGTATATATTACGAAGGTAGATAAAGCAGTTGCATTTCTTTCATGCAAACCTGTATAATTTCATAGCTACTGGACTGATTAAGTGTATCTCTGTTTGTGATGTTTGATTCTTCTTTTGCTTTTTGAGGTTACAACTGGCAAACTTGGCCTTTCTAGGTGAGGGCATCCAACATCCTCTTAAGAATACCTCTAAATTGGTAAGGTTTGATAGACATATGTAATTATCTTTCTAGAAACAAAATGAGCACTTGAGTTCTAGGATACTGATAGATGCTCTTAAAATTGGGCTGTATTTAAAAAATCACTTGTTCTATTGAGTTAACATTTGTGATTGTTTCTCTGAAACATAAAAGCAGCCTCAGGTAGCCATTGCTTATATCAAAATGCAAGTTTGTACCAAATGTGCTCTAAAGTTCAGACAAATACAATTGTCAAATAATTTAGGTGGAGAACAATTTTCTGTTTGCAATCTGGTATGTATAAGAAAGAACCTGTATGCTACAAGATTGATGTATGGGGAAGGATCTTCAGCTGGATGAGTTGAAATTGTCTTTTGAAGAATGTTATAACTTCAAAACAAAGCATGATGCAACTTGAAACACCAGGCAAATAAGTTTCAGAGTGATAGCCGTGTTAGTCTGTATCAGCAAAAAGAATGAGGAGTCCTTGTGGCACCTTAGAGACTAACAAATTTATTTGAGCATAAGCTTTTGTGGGCTAAAGCCCACTTCATCAGATGCATGCAGTGGAAAATACAGTAGGAAGATATATAAACATCTGATGAAGTGGGCTTTAGCCCACAAAAGCTTATGCTCAAATAAATTTGTTAGACTATAAAGGGGCCACATGTACTCCTCGTTCTTCAGGCAAAAACAGATGTTTGGATTACTTCTGATTCATGGCACCAGGAGATGTCCTGAGGAAGAGCCCAAAG